CTGAGAGTAGACAGACACGTCTGCACACCACGGAACGAGCAATGGCCAGAATTACCGACCATCTTAGAAAATACAATGTTGAACTAAGCTTCTCTCACCTGAGCCCCCTAGGCTCCCAAAATTGCCCTGGAACAAAGGCAGTATGAAAGAACTCACTTCAACATTCATCGCTAAAAAATCCCAATATTTAACAACTGTAGTCAAGAGAAAGGCTTTCTTTTAGTCTAATTTATAAATCCAGAGTGTTCAGAGTCACATGCTGGCAGGACGACGCAGCACAGCAGCTGAAAGTGGAAAAGCCTGAATTCCCAGACCTGGCTTCCAGAGGCCACACGGTCCTGGAGGAGAGTCCATTATCAACTTGAGTGACCCCAGGTGACACAATAGGACACTTACCTGCAATATGTAGAAAGCAACACTTATAACCCATTTTATCTTGGCCAGTTGAGCTGTCCGTGCTTTCACTGAAAGGAAAAACAGGGTGAAATAATTATCTCAGTCCTGAAAAATGAAGAAAATACTCAAGTACACAGAAATGCTATTTCCTCCCAGAAAATATTTTCTAATTATATATGTAACATTTGCTCAACATACTTAGAAAATATAAACTAGACCTTTTTAAAAATCACCCTCTACGCCATTATTTAAAATAGAGACACACAGATTGTGAGATTTGACACTTTCACTTTGAAAACCCTTGAAACTATTCATCTAAATCAGAGATTCTTTTTACAATGCACTTACCAACAGGACTAAACTTCCTTCCCTGACTTCGCAGTCTACACAGTACCCTAATCCGGAAGTGGGAGTCTAGTTTGTCTCGGGCTGGGCAGGCCCCTCTGTCTGTTTGACCACCCGTGGAGATAGCTCTCTCACTGTGCTCACTCCCAGCGCACAGGCGGCCCTGAGAAAATGCTCTTCATCACAGGAGACTGTCAGGCACAGTGGCAAACGTACAGATAAATAAGCCTGATCCCCACCCTGCAGTCTACACTCGGATACAGACACTGCTGGGAGTTTTCTAGAGAGTGTTCACAAAAGCCCCTGGGAATCCACTAGGAGATTTTTTCTAGGCTTCTCTCAGAAAAGTGTTGAATTTGAAAAATGACAACCTATACTAACAAGTTGGCTCTGAAGAAAATCTAAGAGGATCCTGGATGTTTCTGTGTTTAGAATGAAAAGGTTCACCAGCAAATAAGAAAGTAATAATTATTATTGGGTTTCTTCTAGACAACTTAAAAGTTTATATCAACATCTAAAACATCCAAGAATCAAAGCATATATTCTATGAATCTTTATATAAAGATTTCTCTATTAATCGGCTCTTAGGAAGCTTTCCACACTGCAACTGAAAATAGTACCATGAGTTTTGAGCTTATCTGTCATCTTGTTGATCTTTCTCTCCAGTCTGGCGTATCTGGCGAACTCGTCCATCATGTTGACAGTGGAGAGCTCTTGCTTCATGTCCTGGATCTCTGCTCTCATCTGCGACTCCTGCTCTGCATCCTTCTGCAGCACCCTGGACATCTGGCGGAGTGGACAGCTGGGATCAGTGCCTTTCCACGTGGGGTACACATTCTCCCCCACCTCCTCCACCATCCTATCTGCTCACTTTGTCCACTGGGCAAGCCATCCTTCCCTACACAGCCAGCCTCTGCTTCCTGGTCCTGCTCCCTACAACCACCACAAAAACAAAAACTCCCTCCAATTTGAATTGCCATTCATATATATTTTTCCTTTTGCAGACATGCCCATGGATTACTATGGTACAAAGTATGTCTTTCACTATAACTGTAAAATTGTAATTTTAAAATGAAAACTGATTCCATCTCCAGAGCTGTCATTCAGGTGACAAGGACCACACATTCTCTTCCTTCCTTTAGAATTCAGTCGTAGGGCCGGCCCCGTGGCTTAGTGGTTAAGTGCGCGTGCTCCGCTGCTGGCAGCCCGGGTTCGGATCCCGGGTGCGAACCATCATACTGCTTCTCCAGCCATGCTGAGGCTGCATCCCACATACAGCAACTAGAAGGATGTGCAGCTATGACATACAACTATCTACTAGGGCTTTAGGGGGAAAAAATAAATAAATAAAATCTTTAAAAAAAAAAAAAAAGAATTCAGTCGTGAATTAGGTGGACAGAGCAAGGTGGGGGTGCAGGGTTCCAGTGATGAGGTGGTGGCCCAGTGCCGGAACTCAGAGCCCAAGAACAGGGAGGAGGGCATTCCCGCAGAGGGGCACCCTGGTAAGGGGGGTCAGAGCCAAGCACAGTGATATGGAGGTCTCCAAGAAAGGGCAGCCTGCATGGGAGTCAGACCCGGAGCAGGGTGAGGGGGGCATACATGACAAAAGGAAGGCACCCAGCCAAACTGGTGTCAGAGCCCAAGTAGGGCAGTGGGGCAGGGAACCACACTGGGGAAGGGGCAGTGGAGGAGATGGGTGGTTAGTTATAAAGGACTGACCAAATAAAGTAAACATATTGAAGACAGTGGGAGCCAGTTTTCTCACTGTCAGAAAAGGGAGTGTGGGCCGGCCCTGTGGCTTAGCAGTTAAGTGCGCGCGCTCCGCTGCTGGCGGCCCGGGTTCCGATCCCGGGCTGGCCCCGATGCACCGCTTCTCCGGCCATGCTGAGGCTGCGCCCCACATACAGCAACTAGAAGGATATGGAGCTATGACATACAACTATCTACTGGGGCTCTGGGAAAAAAATAAATAAATAAATAAAATTATAGAAAAGGAAGTGAGAAATGCGGAGTGGGGGGAAACTAGAATGAGTCCTGTAGTGTTGGATTAGAATTGGAGATATGGCTGTGAACTAGCGGTTTTCCCCAGGCACAAAGACAGAAATATAAACGTAAACGTTTGTAAAGAGGCGCCTCTGACAGCCAGACCCCACAGGGAACTTGGGCGGCCCAGGCGCCCTCCAGGAAGCCTGCAGACGGGACCCACGTGTGCTGCACCCCCCAACTCTCCCTCGCTACACACACACCTGCCCGGACTCCCGCCCGCTGCCGGGAGCACAGGGACGAGACCGCAGTGGCCGCCAGGCGGCGCCCGGCGACGGGCCAGGACGGTCCTGGGTCCCCGGACTGCGAGGTCCACGGGCAGCCTCGGGAGGCGCCTGCAGGGACCGGCCCCGATTGAGGAGTGAACATCCCCAAATTGACGCCCATGGCCCGAGGAGACGCAGTGAGAACGCAGCATCCCTTCTGTGACATGGCGCCAAACACCGGACAAAGATGTCCACAGGGGGCCACTCTGCAGAATCACTGCCCTGCCATATTCGGAAATGCCAGCCAAGCAAGTCAAGGAAAGACCGAGAACCCTTCCAGACTGAAGAGACATGGCAACATGTGCAATGCAGTGCTGACGGGGCCCTTTGCTACCAAGGCCATCGCTGGACGAGGGAAACCCCCTGAACCGGAGAGGAGGGATACCACGTGACGGCTGCGTTGTGGCCGAGGCCACCGCTTACACACTCAGGTATCGGGGAGTGAGGGGCTCAGGAAACAAAACCACTTCTTTGTACTGTATGCATAACTTCTCTACGCGTTTGTGTTTGTGGCGAAATTTTAAATGTAAATCGAAAAAGATGAAAGGGGATAACGTGTTGACGTGTACTGACCCGTAGCAAGGGCACAGTAAACGAGTTTGCCCCTCCAGCTCCCGGACCGCTCTGTGCGGCGCACCGGACGGCGACTCCAGTTCCGGCCGGAAGCCCCCCGTCTTGGGGGTCCCAGGGGCGCGTGCGCAGATTCCCGGGATGCCTGCGCAGGCCCCCCTCTGGCGCCTGCGCAACGAGGCCGTTAGCGTGGGGGCGGGGCTGGCTGGTCTCCCGAAGGCGCCTGCGCAGTAGTGCAGTGCGTTTGCCACTGCGCAGCGTCCTGCCGGCCTTGAGCCCGGGCAGGGGGTCCTCAAACCCAGTTCCGTCTTCGTCCCCTATGCCCTGACCTCTACCCAACACTCTAAATAAAGGACGTATGCTCCAGCCTGACCCACGCCGGAGAAGAAAATAGGGATGGGCCAAATTCTCTTAATTACAGAAGCGTCTTTCAGGAGCAAGGAGTCTATAGGTGCTGCTTAAACTCGGTACATCAAGAAACAGGTGCACGGTGGGGGACAGGACCTTTGAGGTGATAGAGATGTCCTTTATCTTGAAGGTGCTGGTGGTTACCATACTGAATAAGTGTGCCAAAACTCACCAAACCGCCCACCTGGAAGGAGTGAATTTCACTGAATGCAAATTACACTTCAATAAACCTGACTTTTAAAACTAGATTTTAAAAAGAAACGGAAGTGCAAGCACATTATTTAGCTTCATAGAGAATATACAAAAACAATTAAAAACTGAAAAGGCCAAAATTGATTACTCAGAAGTGAAAGGTGGGTGAGGGAACTGAGGAGTACTGTGGTTAAATCAGACAACTGTAATGCTCCCCAAAAAAGAATATATATCACATCTATAAGCACACTAAAAATGTTTGGAAGTGTTTAAATTTGCAAATAGGTACCAACATTAATCCAAAATCTCCTTCTAAGCGTTAAAATGTGCTAGAAGTATAAACTGAATTGTGAGATTTAATGAGACTGAATTTAAATATAGTAATTAAAATATTAATTTTCAAAACCAAAATAAATCTCTCAAGTCTTTATGGACTCAAAATTACCTTCCACGACTTTAAACCTTCCACCTGATAGAAACAGATAAGCTGTGCTGAGTACAGCTATTCAAGGTCCCGAAGATGGGTCCACAAACAATTCTGAAGCAGAAAATGAGTTTTTAAAAAATCTTATCACAATGACTGGGACAGTGGGAGAACACAGGGACAGAAGCGATCCTTCTTGTCACCGTGTCTCCAGACGCTGGCCGCCGGCCTGTGTGAGCTCAGTGTCCTCCCAGCGGTCACCCTCGGATTCTGTCCAACTCCGACACGCCTTTGCCAACAGACAAAATGCCAGGGCTTGACCTTGGGGTCACACTGGGGAGATTCAACTCCCCACTCCGCCACTCAGGGGCTGGCACCTCTCCGGACCAGACTCATCTGAAAATCAATGCCTGATGACGTTTACAGCCCGTGCTCCTGGAACACAGCGAGCACCCCAGGAGTGATGGCTCGGCCGCTCGTTCGGGTGGGTCCCTAACGCCAGGGACGGACCTCACCCCAGGATAGGACCAAGGCCCCTGCGAAGCTGCGGTCCCAGAAAAGCCCCATATGCCAGGTTCAGGCCCGGGCCGCCCAGTGGGGACCCCTCCTCGTGGCACTGGCCCCCGCACGTGCACAGCCCCATCCGCAAGGCCTCACCTGCACGCGCGCACTGAAGCCCCATCGCCCCCTGTCACCCCCTAAACCTGTCACCCCCTAAACTAATACTTGGGGGCCATTCTATGCCTGGTCCAGAGCAGGAAATCACTAGGCGACAGCGTTCCCTGGAAAGAGGGAGGGGCTCAGGAAGACGCCCACAGTGGCAGGTCCTGCAGCGTCCACACCTCGGCTCAGTGGCCCGGGCCCCTAGAGGAAAGGGAGAGGGCCACTTTTTAGAGCAGAAAATTAAGATAATTTCGAAATCGTCCACTATGAAAATGCCGCTCAGCCCCACAAACCAAGCCCCGCAGGGCAGCCTGCAGCCTGCCCTCCCCCAGGGTCTGCAAAGCGGAGGTCTGCGAGAGCGGTGCCGCTGGCGCCTGCGCAGCATGCGCGGCTCGCCGGGACCCTCACCCCGCCCTCCGCCGCGCCTGTCCTGGGGCGCCTGCGCAGTGCGCCTGCGTGCACCCCGCGCAGAGCGGGCGTTCCCTGAGGGGCTTGCTCATCCCCCTCCTCCTCCGGCTTTGGCAGAAGAAAGTCCTGGGTCGTGTACTGAATGAACTAGGTTCTTTCATCCGTGCGTCCTGTGACCAGCTTGTAGGGAAGAAAGAACGAACTCTCAGGAAAATTCCGACCAAGTCAGCAGCAGGGACTGGGGTGTCCTTATCCAGGCACCCACCACAACCCAGTATTCAGCTGAGATCTCTTCCCAGGACCTTGCAAGGCTTTGCTGGGCCGAGGACTTCTGCTACTTCAGAGACTTCTTCAAGGGCCTCAGGCCAGAGGACCAGCGGCCTGCCTAATGGGATGGTGCACCCCTCCCTTGCTTCTGGCTGGACGGAGGAAGCATCATAAACCCTGTAGGGAAAGTTATAATCTGAAGTGTAGGGGCATGGCCCATTCCCAATCAAGCTTTCTGTTTCTCGTGGAGAGTCTTTCCCACTTGTGTCCTCAACTCAGGGCCTGTGATAGGGCAGGCTCTAATGGTTGTGAAGGAACAGCATTTTATCCTACACAGGACCATTGTGTTCCTTACAGCTTTTCATTGACTCTCACCCCAAACCCAGGGACCAGGCAGGACAGATCTCATTACGTGCCTTGTTTTGAACACTAACAATGTGGGCTGCATTCTGCTAAAATAATTATGTTATCCTTTTGAACCTGGCTAACAACCTCGACAAACAATGTTATGTACAATCAAGTGGAAAGCTTTAAGGTTTAAGAAAGCTAACTGGTTTGAGGTTAGACAGGCTACACAGCCTGTAGGAAGCAGCACAGGATGTGACACAAGTCCAAGGACAAACCCAGGCCTCCTTCATCCAAATGATGAACAGCCAGCCTTATAGGGCGCAAGCCTCATTCATGTCTAGACTGCAGCAATAACCTCTTCTGACAGTGGACTAGCTGCAGAGCACGGGCTTGGTGAAGCAGCCTGAGATGGTGACAGGTCTTATTTATACCCACTCACTCACTCACTCCTCCTTCCCCCTCAGCTAATGAGAAATTATGAACAATTCAAAGAGGAATATAAAACCAACACAGCCTCTTTGAGCAAAGGAGATTAGTTGCGTGTGGCTCCAACATGAGGTGCAATGGGATGGGGTACATAGGAAAATGGAGATGATATTGCAAGAAAGACGGACAGTCAACCTACAGAAAGGGAGAAAATATTTGCAAATCATCTATCTGATAAGGAGGTGATATCTAGAATATACAAAGAACGCCTAACTCAACAAAAAAACAAACAGCCCCTCACTCCCGCTGTGGGCCTACAGAGGGCGCCCTTCTCCAAGGGACAGCTCCTGATGCCCAATTAAAAAAGGGGCAAAGGACTGCAATAGACATTTCTCCAAAGAAGATACAGAGATGGCCAATAAGCACATGAAAAGATGTTCAACATCACTAATCTTTAGGAAAATGCAAATCACAACCACCATGAGATACCATTTTGCACCTATCGGGATGGCTATTATCTAATTTTATAAATAAAATGACAAGTGTTGGAGAATGTGGAGAAATTGCAACTGTTTTGCTTTGCTAGTAAGAATGTAAAATGGTGCAGCCGCTGTGGAAAATAATATGGCAGTTTCTCAAAAAAATGAAATGTAGACTTACCATATGATTCAGCAGTTCTACTTCTGGGTATTTACCCCAAAAAACTGAAAACAAGAGACTTGACCAGATATTTGTACACCAATGTTCTAGCAGCATTGTTTACAACAGTCACAAGGTGGAAACAGCCCAAATGTCCATCAAAGGATGAATGGATAAACAAAATGTGGTATATACATACACTGGAATATTATTCAGCCTTAAAAAGGAATGAAATCCTAACACACACTACAATAAGGATGAACCCCCAAAGACATTATGCTGAGTGAAATAAGCCAGACATAAAAAGACAAATATTGTATGATTCCACTTATATGAGATACCTAGAGTAGTCAAATTCATAAAGATAGAAAGTAGAATGGTGAGTGCCAGGGAGAGGGGGAATGGGGAGTTATTGTTTTAATGGGTACAGAGTTTCAGTTTAGGACGATGAAAAAGTTCTGGAGATGGATGGTGGTGATAGCTGCACAATAATGTGTACTTAATGCCACTGAACTGTACACTTAAAAATGGTTAAGACGGTAAATATTATGTATATTTTACTACAATTTTTAAAAAGAAGACAGAAAGATGGGCAAGGGTCAGCTCTTCAAGGGTCTTTTATCCAATGCTAAGGACTTGGCACATCAAGTTATGGTGGCCCGCAGTTCGCAGGTTCAGATCCCGGGCGCACACTGACGCACCACTTGTCAAGCCATGCTGTGGCGGCGTCCCATATAAAGTAGAGGAAGATGGGCACAGATGTTAGCCCAGGGCCAATCTTCCTCTGCAAAAAAGAGGAGGATTGGCATCGGATGTTAGCTCAGGGCTAATCTTCCTCACAAAAAAAAAAGACTAAGTGACATCAGGAAAGATTCTAAATCGGGGGATGGGAATTAAGAGGGAAGTCAGTATGCCTCAGAACAACAGGAGTAGGAAAGCCCTAAAATAGAGCTTTACAGAAAACAGACACTCCATGAGTGTTATTGCTGTGGAGTTGATTCCAATTCCTAGCAACCCTGTATCCAGCAGAGAAAAACCCTGCCGGGTCTTTTTGCTCCATCCTGTCACCTTCTGGTGCTGTATCAGACAACACTTGAAGCTATTCATGAGGTTTTCATGGCCAATTTTTTCAGAAGTGGGTGGCCAGGTCCTTCCTCCTAGACTCAATGAATACTGGTAGAATAAAAGAAACAAGTCGAAATTCTGCCCAATCTTAAATATCCCACCACCACCACCACCAGCAACTCCTATCAGGAGAGAAAAGCAGAGAGGACTGAGTTTCCCAAGATAATACTATAACACGTGCACTCAATCTTTGAAGTGTGAGTCAGAGACCGCGTCACTCCCGCTGTGGGCAGAGGGCGCCCGACTCCCGGACACAGCTCTCTCTTGCACGCACACACACACACACACACACACACACCCACCCATCAAATTCACCACCAAACCCCTATGCATGCTCCAATAGGCAGAGGGGCAGAACTAGGAGATCCACCCCAACAGTCACTAACTGGATGACAGTGCAACTACTAGACCCTCTTGAGTCAGACTCCTCTGGGAGGTAAAGGAAGATGGGGTGACATTCACCACCCACAGCAGCGATAACAACTGGACACGAGGTAATATACTTATGTCTGGGCAAACGCCCTGCAGAGAGAGAATGCTCCCCAGCGGCTGTCGCTTCCTTGGACACAGGAAGCATCACACAGAACCGAGATTCTCTGTCCACACTGCCTCCCAGCCCATCACCCCAAGAATGGGGACTCCTGCACACAGAGATCCGTCTCTCCCGGAGCTGGCACAGCTGGCACTGCGTGCGAAGAAGACGAGGCCTCCGGCAAACTGCACGCCGTGCAGCACCAGGCACCGTCCCCCAGCAGCCGAGGGCTGCTCGACCACTCCAGAGTCCAGGGAACAACGAAGTGAGGGCGGCTGGCAGAGGGACACCGAGAACTCCCAGCCTGAGGGCTGCTGCCACGTGAAAACGTGACCAAGTGTCGCCACGTATTTCTTTTTTTACCCTCCCCGAGAATCCAGAAATACACATTTGGGGGTAAGACTTTGCAGCTTTTAGACGCTAGCAACTAGCTCAAAAAAATATTAAACACAGGACGGCCCAACCAAGACGCTTCAGCGGGCCGATCACGCGGCCAGTTTGAGACCCCTCTGTCTACGCCAGGCTCGCCGGGGACTGAGCGGCAACCCACCGGCCCCTGAAAGGCCAGGCAGCACTTACGAAGGAGGAAAAGGACGGGAGGAGAATCCTGAGGACATTGCACCCAAACACGAAGCTGAGCACCAGCAGCCACGCCCAGCGGTCAGCCTCGGCCGCACTCATCCCGGACGCTCCCGCGGCGCCGGCCAAGCCACGGCAGCTACTCCACTACGCCAGCTCCATGGGGACCACGCCGAGGCCCGCGCCTGCGCAGTAGGGCCCAGCGCCCCGCAGAGGCGCGCTGCCGCGCTTGCGCACTGCGCCGCACTCTCGGGGAGGCGGGGCCGTCTTTCCGCCAGGCCATGGGGAGCGCCTTCCAGCCTCCTCCTTGGCTTTCCCGCTTTCCGTAGCTTTCTTCGCGGGGCGCCCTACCGCACGCGGCGTTTATTCCAAACGCGTGTGGTTCAGTCGCCAGCGTGGGTCTAGTTTTGTTATATCTGATTTGTTATATCAACCACTTGTGTTATTGTGTAATTAATGCGTTTTTTAAATTGACTCACTTTTATTCTTAAATTTATGTTAAAATAGACGTTTCCATAAATAGACAACTACTGTAATTATGGTAGCAACAGTAAAAAAAAGTTTTGTAAGTAATTATATGTAAAATATCTTGTTTACATTTCAAAACTAAACACTGTAATAAATCTGATGAGTAAATGAAAAGCAATAGGATATATTGGAGTATTTGAGGAAGCCACTTGGTTTAAAACTAATTTGGCTTGACCTTGTTTGGGAGAAAGGCTTCATGTGGCCTGTTGAGGATGCATTGTACATCTGCTTTAAACATTTACAATGTGTCAAAGCCAAGAATGATGCCTTCTAAGATAGGGATGTTTCCTCCCCCATATCAGCATTTCTTTAAGCATTTCTTCCCTGACACTAAGGATTAATTACTGACCTACATTAACTCATCTAGTGACCACTGACCTGCTATACTCACCTTGTGACCTCTGACCTGCTGTGCTAGCAAAGCGTCTCATGACTGTAATAAGAGAGATATTCCTGTCATATGTGATGTATGCTCTTTGTTCCAAGATGGTATATAACCACTCTGTACAGCTCACTCCTTCAGAGAGCTTCCTTCCTTGGTGGAAGGACTCCCCGGCTATAGTCCTCAAATTGGATCATAATAAATCACCCCAATTTTGATTTATAGATTGATTATGAATTATTTGCATCGACAAATCTGAACAATTTACTAAACTGCATACCTAAAAAACAAGTATTAATCTGTTGATCTAAAAATAAAGAGCCAAAATGAGAGGCAGAGAGGCATTTATTTTGGGATCAAAGAATTGCAATTCAGGGAGCACAGATTCAGGTAAAAACCCAAATAGTGTCCCAATTACAAGAGAGGGGCTCAGGGTTTTTATGGGAAAAAGAGAGGATGAAGTAAGTTTACTCAGCCTGTAATAAAATAATTAACCTACATTTACGTGAAGATATATAGTAAGTAAAGCAAAAGATGTTTAGCTGCCTCTTCTGCCACTGTTGGAGTCTGAGAACAAATTCCTAATCAAAATGAATCAAGGACCTGTGGTTCTACAAATTTCTGTTTCAAGAAAACGTGAAGCAAAGCTATTCAATAGCGGTGGAGTGAATTATTTCTATTACTTCTAGTGAAGTATGTCTTGGCTGGAAGGTGCTGCTGAACTCACCAAAACAAAAGACAGGCTTGGAGCCTGCCTTTCCTCCATAGCCTTCGCCTCCCATTGGACCATCCAAATCTTCAGGCAGGCTACTGGCTCCTCTACTCACTAGGGATTTAGAAGAAGGGAGAAACCACCTGTGAAAAGTGATGGCAGCTTCTCCTGCCTCTCTTCCCCCGCGCCCAGTCTCTGCCTTTCAGGCTGAAGAGGAGAGATTCAGCTGTTCCCCACTCCTACGACACCCCACCGCACTGCCACATACCACCAGGATGAGGATCTACAATTCCTGGTGAGGCATGAATTTGAAAAACAACACCGGAGAATGTCCTTGACTGTGCAGCAGTGATGGGAGACGACCAGCAGTACCCAGCCTTCAGAGGCAACCCAGTTTGAATAACTCAGCTCTCTCCTATTGCTTCATTTGGGCAGCTCTCAAAAAGAGCACTAACCGTTGAAGACTGAATTATTCTACTAACATATGGAAAGAAAATATGCAAGCCAAGACATCCCAGTATGAATCAGTCTAGATCTAATAACCAGAGCTGTGCTCAGAAATGAGTGACAGGACCGGTTACTGAGGATGGCCAAAACAAGGTGGATTCCTCTCAAGACAGTCACACCCAGAAGGCAGCACTGAAATGCAAGATGAAAATGAGATTGCCTCAACTATTCGCAAAACAGTGAAAACAGAGGGGATAAAGAGAAGAAACAGTTTAATGGGAACTTAATTTACCTAGTCTAAGCTTTTCCCACTTGGTTTTACTAAATGAAAATGATGATGGTGGTGATCACATACAGGGTTGAATCAAAGAGCAGACTGACAATCTTTCCACTGGGAACTAGGGGTACATCACTATTCAGAATGAATTAAGTAAAATCTGCAGTGTTTGTTTCAGTAACTGACTGGCACAAACTAAGCGAAGGCCGTTACCTCCCATGCACAAATTTTATAGCCATGGTAGTACTCAGTGGCTGTCAGAGGCCTGGACTTCTATATGTTGGCAGCCTGTTTTAAGATTCAAGATAGCTAACAATGAACGAAGTATTAGGATCTCTTGAAATATTGCATTTTCGTATGGCTGAATATTCAAGCATTCTTGTATGTGTGCACACACACGTGTGCATGTGTGTATGTAGGTGTGTGTGAGGAGCTACCTAGAAAGAAAAATATAACATTATAATTTCAGATCTTTTGCTGTTTTTTTTAACTTGTTTTAAAAAGAAAGCATTTGTGCAAAATTTTAAAATGCAAATGTTAAATTATCCTTAAAGGCAGTACTGTTAATATTGCTAGATGGTGGTTGTACAATATTGTGAATATACTAAATGCCATTGAATTGTACACTGTAAAATGGTTAATTGCAGGGCCAGCCTGGTGGGGTAGCAATTAAGTGTGCATGCTCCACTGTGGAGTCCCGGGGTTCGGATCCTGGGCGCGCACTGACACACCGCTTATCAAGCCATGCTGTGGCAGCATCCTATATAAAGCAGAGGAAGATGAGCATGGATGTTAGCCCAGGGCCAGTCTTCCTCAGCAAAAAGAGGAGGATTGGTGACAGATGTTAGCTCAGGGCTGATCTTTCTCACAAAAAAAAAAAAAAAAAGGTTAATTGCATGTTATGTGAATTTCACCTCAATTAAAAATATATATATTGCCAGAACCAAATAACCTTTAAAATGTTTTTATTCTAGCCTCTTTGTTATGTGAAGCCCTTCTGAATATGCAAAATTCAGTAGGTTAAAAATTAATCTTATTGTTATTAGTACAGTAGACTTCATTTAAACCTCAAATTTTCACAGGCTTTGTTCTATGTCCAGAAATTTATCTCTAAATAAACCTTTCATTAGCTTTTCTTTTTAAATAAATAAATAAATAAAAATAAAAAGATTTCTTTCTGAAATAAGTCATTCAGATGGAAATAACATTTTATATCATTTAACTATAATGAAATGTCACCTTATGTTCCCTTTCTTCTCAATGAAAATTACACCAAAGTGAACTCTTCATCAACTACAATCCTTCTGATAAAGAATTCAGAAAGAAATCTATTTTTTATTTTTATTTATTTATTTATTTATTTGCTGAGGAAGATTAGCCCTGAGCTAACATCCGTGCCCATCTTCCTTCCAGCCCCACAAAATCTTTTTTTTTTTTAATGTAAAAGTAGCATTAGGAGAACATTTTTTTCTGCTTTTGTTTTTCTGACCAACCCTCCTAACCACAGAGGTGGAGCAACATCTAACCAGACTTGAGATAGCTTCCTCCCGTTTATGAATGGGGCGTCCCTCAAACCATGCCAGCTGAACATGTTTATACCATTGCCTCTGCTTCTAAAATTCACACAAGCCAGGGAAACCTTAAAGTCCTTCATGTGATTTCAAGAGCCAGGTAGAACAAGTGCCCTTAACACTGCAGTAGAATGTTTTTGCTCGAGTCTGGAATATTATGAAGTGGCTGCCCATTTGAGGGGGTATTCTCTTCTGAAGCCACAGAAGCAGAGTGAGCTGGAAGAGATGCAGGGAAGTGTTCCTGCTGTAGACTGAATGTCTGTGTTCCCCTGAAATTCAAAAGTTGAAACCTAACTCCCAAAGTGATGGTATTTGGAGGTGGGGCCTTTGGGAGGTGATTAGGTCTTAGGGGTGGAGCCCTCTTGAATGAGATTAGTACCCTTATAAAAGAGACCCCAGAGAGCTGCCTTCCCCCTTCCTCCACATAAGGACACAGCAAAAAGTCAGCCTTTTGTGAACCAGGAAGTTGGTTCTCACCAGACACTGAACCTGCCACCGCCTTGATCTTGGACTTCCCAGCCTCCAGAACTGTGAGAAATAAATTTCTCTTGTTTATAAGCCACACAGTCTATGGTATTTTTGTTATAGCAGCCCGAACAGACTAAAACACTTCCTTTCCATATTTGAAAAGCCAGGCTTAACTTGTGAACAGGAAACAATAATGTGACCAATTTCTAGCTGGCTTAGAATTCTTTCTAAAATAACAATCACTGGGCCGGCCCCGTGGCTTAGCGGTTAAGTGCGCGCGCTCCGCTGCTGGCGGCCTGGGTTCAGATCCCAGGCGCGCACTGACGCACCACTTCTCCAGCCATGCTGAGGCCGTCCCACATACAGCAACTAGAAGGATGTGCAACTATGACGTACACTATCCACTGGGGCTTTGGGGGAAAAAAATAAAAATAAATAAAATTAAAATAACAATCAGTACTATGGACTGCTGGAAGGGAAATGTTGCAATAATAACTCCTCCAATGATCTTATCCAATAACAATTAAGTACACAGTCGTGTATCCATAAAGTTTGTAAACAAGCTAGAAACATATACTGCCTGCCGAGTTCTACATCATTCAGTGATCTTTCGGCTCCTTCTTTGTGTTCTGGTGTTTCTGGCCAACTCATTCATCACAGAGCTCCTGTATCGGAGCCTGTATTTTTGCTCTCATCACGGAGAGCTCCTGTATTGGAGCCTGTATTTTTGCTCTCATCTGCGTCCCTTTCATCTCATCCTTCTGTAGCAGCTTGGATGTGCAACAGAGTGGTGAACAGTGGTCATTCAA